GCAAATGTTTTTAATAGAGAAACTAACTGGGAGATGTGCTTCATTTCTTAGCTTCCAAAAATGCTATAAACACCAGCATTGTAATTAAAACCCGTTAAAAGGACTTCCTCTAATCTATAAATAGAAGGAATAGCGTAACCCAGTGAGGTGGGGAAGAAGAATGAATAAATAAAAGTCTACAGATGAATTGCAATGTTTTTGCTTAAGCATTTATTCATGGCAAGACCACCATGGTTGCCAACTGGCATTCTGCCACACATCTGGACAACAAACCACACAGGAACAGCCAATGTTCTGCACAGTTCTGGAATAATGTCACTCAAGAGATGACATTTTGACTACTAGAAATAGCAGACTGAAATTCCTTCTACCCTGAAAAAAATGGGGAGGTTCACTGAGGACAGCACTAATATTCCAGTATTCAGCCTCAAAAAGAAAAGCGATTGAAACACATAAAATATACAGGCTAACATGGATTTGTAAAGAGAGTTGTGCAAGTACATAAACTAATGGATTAAGAGGCTAAGCGTTGCCATATATTGGCCTTAAAAATCCATTAATTTGTCTAGCTCCCGAACACCATGAAATATTATATCCACAACTCTGCAAAAATGTCATATATTTCCTATCTTAAATCAGTTCCATACTGCAACTTGTATGATTTCCATGTGTAGAACTTTTGACATTCCTAAATGCTACCAAATCTTTTGTGGAGTAATTCAGCTACTATTTCATCAAGCATAAACAGGGAATTGTTGAATCAGTTTGTCCCGTACTGAGATAGAACAACTGCACATCTAGGTTCTTGTGGGTTTTTTCGGGCTATAGAGCCATGTTCTAGAGGCATTTCTCCTGACGTTTCGCCTGCATCTATGGCAAGCATCCTCAGAGGTAGTGAGGTCTGTTGGAATTAGGACAAAGGGTTTATATATCTGTGGAATGGCTGGGGTGGGGCAAGGAGCTCTTCCCTGCTGCAGTTAGGTGTGAATGTTTCAGCTGATCACCTTCATTAGCATTTGAAGGACAAGAGGGATCCTCTCACCTCTGCAGGAGTCTACCGTGTACCATGCAGCTGTGGACAAGTCTACATAGGGACCACAAAACGCAGCGCCCAGACATGCATCAAGGAACATGAAAGGCATTGCAAACTACTCCAACCAGAGAAATCAGCCATAGCAGAGCACCTGATGAACCAACCTGGACACAGCATATTATTTGAGAACACAGAAATGCTGGACCACTCTCACAACCACCATGTCAGACTACACAGAGAAGCCATTGAAATCCACAAGCATGTGGACAATTTCAACAGAAAAGAAGAGACCATGAAAATGAACAAAATCTGGCTACCAGTATTAAAAAACTCTAAAATTACAACAGCAAAACAACAGAGAGGAAACAACCAGGCACAGATTAACACATCCCAGCAAGAGATTTTCCCAGGCTCAGGCAGGCCTTCAAATGCTAATGAAGGTGATCAGCTGAAACATTCACACCTAACTGCAGCAGGGAAGAGCTCCTTGCCCCACCCCAGCCATTCCACAGATATATAAACCCATTGTCCTAATTCCAACAGACCTCACAACCTCTGAGGATGCTTGCCATAGATGCAGGTGAAATGTCAGGAGAGAATGCTTCTAGAACATGGCCATATAGCTCGAAAAACCTACAAGAACCTAGTGATTCCAGCCATGAAAGCCTTCGACAACTGCACATCTATTTTGGCAAAATCAACATGTTCACTAGTATCCGTCCTTTTAAAATACATATTTATTGATACGTTTCACATGCAATAAGAATCACTGTTCTATTTCAGTATTTTCATTGACAATAACTCTCCCATTCAAGAAATACTGTATATACTCGAGTACAAGCTGACCCGAATATAAGCTGAGGCACCTAATTTTACCAAAAAAAACTGGGAAAACATATTGAGTCGAAGGTGGGAAATGCAGCAGCTACTGGTAAATTCCAAAATAAAAATAGATTCCAATACTATGACATTAATTGAGGCATCAGTAGGTTAAATGTTTTTGAATATTTACATAAAACTGTAATTTAAGATAAGACTGTCCAACTCTGATTAAACCATGATACCAACCTTTTTCAGTGTAAATATGTTTGCACATTCTTTCAGTAATAATAGAGTAAAATAATAAATGTAATAATAATAATAGAGTAAAGTAATAGAAGTGTAATAATAACAGTAATAAGGTAAAATAATAAATGTAATGATAACAATAATAAAGTAAAATAATAAATGTAATAACAATAATATAGTAAAATAATAATAATAATAATAATAATAATAATAGAATTAAATAATAAATAATCTTGACTCGAGTATAAGCCGAATGGGACTTTTTCAACCTAAAAAGGGGCTGAAAAACTAGGCTTATACTTGAGTATATACAGTAATCATTAAACCTGAAAAAAAGTGATACTACATTGGCCACGGTGGTCCAAGCTCTTGTTACATCCCGTACAGATTACCGCAATGCGCGCTACATGAGGTTGCCTTTGAAGACTGTTCAGAAGCTTCAAATAGTTCAACGGGCAACAGTCAGATTGCTCACTGGAGCGGCATTCATGGAGCATACCGCCCCTCTGTTACATCAGCTCAATTGTCTGCCAGTCTGCTACTGAGCACAATTCAAAGTCTATAAAGCCCTAAACAGTTCTGGCGCAGCTTACCTATTCGAACATATCTCCTTCTATGAACCACCACAGAGATTAAGATAGTTTGGGGAGGCCCTGCTCTTGATCCCACCACCCTAGCAAGCACGACTGGTGACGACAAGACACAGAGCCTTCTCAGTGGTGGCGTCTCGGCTGTGGAACTCCTTCCCCAATGAAATCAGAACTATGTGTTGAGAACTTCTCTGAATAACTGACAAAACTGCATATAAAAACCCTGATGGTATCCCACATTTTATAATTTGACTCAACTGACTCACAGTTGCACGTGTAGTAGACATCACTACATAAATAGAAATAAAATCAAGATGTCTCCTTTCCCCATCAACATCTCTTTATAGAAAAAATAGAAACAACTTCTTAACAAGCAGCACGAACTATTACAATACAGTATTTTAAAGATGCCTCTTTTTAGTGAGAATCCGAATATCGATAGTAAAACACTTTGTGGCATCTTTATTTGGGCTTCTCTACTCATTCCAAGGCTGGAGGCCTTCTCCCTCCTTAAGATTATCTCCAATATATTGCAGATCCATGTCAAAACATTTGTGCTATGCAAAATTGATATTACGCTATATATTTATATATAGTGTAGACATAGTTTTTTGTTTTTTTCTTTTAAAAAAATGTTATTAAGCACTGTCTTTATGTTTAAATGCACTATAATGTTTCTTTTTTGCTTATCAATGTATGTATTTTTATGGCATCGAATTGTACCGACTGTGTATGCCGCCCTGAGTTGCCTTCGGGCTGATATGGGTGGGATAGAAATAATGTAAATAAATAAATAAATAAATTTTAATTAAGTTATAGACATCATAAATTTTTAAAAGAATACCAAGAAGCAGGCATGTAGCCGGGGGGTGGGGGGGGCTTGAGCCCCCTAGTGAAATTCTTATGGTGGTCTGCGAAAAGGCCTTACTGGTACATTATTTAAACTGTTATGTTTATTCATATCATGATCTGATCACCATGCTCAATATATCTCATATGCATGGGGGTATTGAGGTAACGATACAAAAGGTTTGCTAGGGTAGACCCTCTTTCACTCAGACTCAGCCCCCCCCCCCCCGAATCAAAATCCTGGCTACGGGCCTGCCAAGAGGTATCAGATGAACCATGTTGGATGTGATCAAGATTTTATTTTAGTTCAAAATTCTGCTCAAAGGACAAGAATGAAACTCTATCACCCCTTTCCAGCACTCCTGCGACTGGCTTACAGAGATATATTGTCCCTGATAATGGAGGTGATACTTAGCTATCCTGACTAGTAGTCATTTATGGCACCAACTTCCATGAATTTATTTCACAGTGAAGACATCTGCCCTTGCGCTATGCTACTCTGCTGCTGAGTATGCATGCCCAGTGTGGAACACATCTCACCACACTAAAACAGTAGATGTGGCTCTTAATGAGACATGCCGCATTATCACAGGGTGTCTGCGCCTCACACCACTGGAGAAATTACACTGCTTAGCCAGTATTGCACCACCTGACATCCGCCGGGAAGTAGCAGCCAATAGTGAAAGGACCAAGGCAGAGACATCTCCAGCTCATCCCCTGTTTGGGTATCAGCCAGCACGTCAACGACTTAAATCAAGAAATATTTTTCTAAGATCTACAGAGACACTCGCTGGAACACCTCAGCAAGCGAGAGTCCAAAAGTGGCAGGCTCAAACCCAGAACCTCAATCCATGGGTGATACCAGATGAGAGACTCCCCCCTGGGCACACAGAAGACTGGGCGACTTGGAAGGCGCTGAACAGACTGCGCTCTGGCACCACGAGATGCAGAGCCAATCTTAAGAAATGGGGCTACAGGGTGGAATCCTCAGCATGCGAGTGCGAGAAGAGCAAACCACTGACCACCTGCTGCAATGCACCTGAGCCCTGCCACATGCACAATGGAGGACCTTCTTGCGGCAACACCAGAGGCACTCCAAGTGGCCAGATACTGGTCAAAGGACATTTAACCAACTACCAAGTTTGCAAAATCTGTGTGTGTGTTTTTTTTCTTTTTAATCTGTGTGTTTGTTTTGTTCTGTTAGAATTGTAACACAATGGTATGGTTGCTGATGACATGATAAATAAATTTCACACCAAATCCTAAGATATGTGATTTGAACTGTGAACTGCATAAAAAAGTATTTTATGTGACCTGGATCTCCTGTGATTCGGTTTGAGTACATGATCTCAAGTTCAGCTGAAACACCCCCACCAAATTCATTTCATATGAGAACCTCCTATTTTAAATCCCCCTGGGAAATACACCTATAGAGCCACAATCTATATTTTTGTCCTTACCTTGCCTCCCTCTCTTTCAAAGTCAACGTACTCTCGAGTTGGTGTCTGCCGCTGTTCCCCTTGCCAGCTGGCCGGAAAAAACTGGAGAGACAGATTGGTTCCTGTGGCCACAAAAGCCTTTTAGAAAAATCAATACAAACAGGATCAGGGAGCAAGACATTACATAAATTATGCAGGCAGTCATTTATTTTAACATCAGTTTATGTCTTAAAGCTGAGCAGCACCGAGAATACTCAAAGTCAAAAACATGAACTCATCATTTTTCTTAAGTATTAAGTTACAAACATCTGATTTCATTTTGACAACATTCGCCATTAGCTGTCTCAGATACAACATAGAATCCATACTTTATTTAAATTATTTTTACAGATGGTATAATATATTTTATGAATGACTGTAGAATACTATTAGGAAGTCTAATGATACTTCAGTAACTAATTAAATACTTTAAGAGCAATACTTTTCTATTCGACATAATTTCATAAGGAAGTTGCTGGTTTTGAGTGCAACCATATATACTTGAGTATAAGCCGACCCGAATATAAGCCAAGCACGTAATTTTACCAAAAAACACTGGGAATACGTATTGACTCGAGTATGAGATGAGGTTGGGAAATGAAGCAATTACTGGTAAATTACAAAATAAAAATAGATACCAAAGCGGTATATAAATACTGTAAATAAATAAATAAATAATAAAATTACATTAATTGAAGCATTGGTAGGTTCAGTGTTTTTTCCCCAATATTTACATAAAACAGTAATTTAAGGTAAGACAGTCCAACTGATTCAACCATTATTCTAACCTTCTTCAATGTAAATGTGCTTATGTAGCCTTCCAATAATAATAAAGAGTAAAATAATAAATGTAATAATAATAGAGTAAAATAATAAATGTAATAAAATAATCATAGGGAATAATAAATGTAATAATAATAAAGAGTAAAATAAAGATGCAATAACAAATAGAGTAATATAATAAATGTAATAAAATAAGAGCAAAATATTCAAAATGTAATAACAATAGAGTAAACAATAGAGTAAAATTATGTAAATGTAATAATAATTATAACAGGAGTAAAATAAATGTAATAACAATAAAGCAAAATAATAAATGTAATAATCTTAGAGTAAAATAATAAATGTAATAATCTTAGAGTAAAATAATAAATGTAATAAAAATAATCATAGGGAATAATAAATGTAATAATAATAGAGTAAAATAAAAATGCAATAATAAAAAGTAATAAATGTAATAATAGAGTAACATAATAAATGTATTAAAATAATAGAGCAAGATATTCAAAATATAATAACAACAATAATAGAGTAAAATAATAAATTTAATAACAACAACAACAGAATAAATAACTTTGACTTGAGAATAAGCTAAGGATTTTTTTCAGCCTAAAAAGGGGCTAAAAAACTCAGCCTAGACTCGAGTATACAGGATAAATATAACAAAAGAGTCTTAGCTCTGCAGTTTGTATAAATAAGGAAACCTAAGGGTAGAACAGTTTGCCAATAGGTATTCCACAGAAAAGAAAGACTGTCCACATCTACCTTTTTTTCATCATTAGCAAGAAATGAAAAATTGCAAGACATATCATGCAAACTCACTAGAGGAACTCTAAAAGTAAGAATGAAAATGAAGGCAGATATTCAAAGTAGTCTTTTGATTCAAATGCTGCGGCCTCAGACATGCCCCCCATTCTTGGAAATTTAGGTTGAAAATTCTCTAAAAGGGCATTTTAACTGTTAATGAATACAGTATCTCCCTAAAATTCCTATAACTTGCAGTGATGAGGGCAAATGGAGGGAATATATACACAATGGGACCTCCCCAATGAAATAAGAGGCATCACTCCATGAGTGGTTGTACCAACAAGTCCTGGAATGGAACATCTGGCATTTGGTGTTTCGGGATGTTGTGAAGAGATCTGTTTCCAGAGCACCCCACGTGTCAAAGACCATTATCAGAACTTTGGGATGGAACTTCCCTTCTTAATATGAAGCAGTTGCATTCACATGGAGATTCTCCTCTACAGGAAGATAGAAACGCTCCTTCTTCCAAGACAGAGGTACTCGTGATCAGTCGAAAGGCTAAACAGGGGATAGGGTTACAGCCTGTGTTAGACGGGGTTACACTCCCCCTGAAGACACAGATTCGCAGTCTGGGAGTGATTCTGGACTCACCATTGAGCCTGGAACCCCAGGTCTCAGAAGTCTCCGGGTGAGCTTTTGCACAATTAAAACTTGTGTGCCAGCTGCACCCATTCCTTGAGAAGTCTGACTTGGCCACAGTGGTCCATGCTCTTGTTACATCCCAAATAGACTACTGCAACGCATTCTACGTGGGGCTGCCTTTGAAGACTGCCCAGAAGCTTCAACTAGTCCAACAATTGGCAGCCAGGTTGCTCACCGGAGCAACATACAGGGAACATACAACTCCTTTGTTACGCCAACTCCACTGGCTGCCGATCAGCTTCCGAGCACAATTCAAAGTGCTGGTTTTAACCTTTAAAGCCCTCAATGGCTCTGGCCCAGACTACCTGTCCGAACATATCTCCTGCCACGAACCATCACGAAGTTTAAGATCTTCAGGAGAGGCCCTGCTCTCGATCCCACCACTATTGCAAACGTGGTTGATGGGGATGAGAGACAGGGCCTTGGCAGCAGTAGCCCCCCGCCTATGGAACACCCTCCCTACAGATATCAGATTGGCCACCTCCCTCTTGTCTTTTAGAACAGTGATTCTCAATCTGTGGGTCCTCAGGTGTTTTGGCCTACAACTTCCAGAAATCCCAGCCAGTTTACCAGGTGTTAAAATTTCTGGGAGTTGAAGGCCAAAACATCTGGGGACCCACAGGTTGAGAACCACTGTTTTAGAAGGAAAATCAAGACCTGGTTATGGGACCAAACTTTTGATCAGTGAGCAGCAAGTGGAAGAAGATCACACAACTTATGGCAATTCATTGACCTGGACTGGTTTTTGGATTCTGATTTTAATGGATGTGTCTTAATTAATTGTTTTAACTGTTGTTTTAATTTTTAATATTTTGATCGTACTGTGGTTGTTTTTATGATGCTAGCAACGTATGATGCTTTTGCTAGGCCGCCCTGAGTCCCCCTTCGGGGGGAGAAGGGCGGGGTATAAATATAGGAAATAAATAAATAAATAAATGTGAGATTCAGTAGGGTACCACCTGTCAGGTGTGCTTTCATTGTGTGTTCCTGTGTTTCAAGGGGTTGGACTGGATGGCACTTGTGGTATCTTCCAGCTATAGGATTCTATGCTTCACTGGCACGCTAAAGGCTTTGATTGCTCCACTGCATCATTTAGGTAGGTCTCATTTCTTGTCCTGGGGACTAGAAGCATGCTCACAGAAACCAGAAGGAAGTAAATCCATGCCAATTAAACGCATTGTGAACGTGTAGAGTGTGAGTTATTTCGCACCTCTTTAAATATAAGCATTACTAGCCGTCCCCTGCCATGCGTTGCTGTGGCCCAGTCTGTATATATGTTTTGTGTGTGTATATGTGTGTATATGTATATATATGTGTATATACAGATAGACAGATAAAAATGTAATGTTCATTTTTGGGACTAACATAACTCAAAGACCACTGGACAAATTGACACCAAATTTGGACACAATACACTTATCAGGCCAATGAGAGTCCATCACCCCTAAAAACCACACAAAAAACCCCAGCAGAACAGACTTAAAACCCCCAAAATAAACTATATATGCATATACACTCATATACATATACATGCACACATACATACAGACACACACAACACATATATATCTATCTATATATGCAAACACACATATATACACATATACACAAATATATATAGATGTATGTATGTGCACGTGCGCATGTGTGTGCTTGTGTATGTATGTGTGCGTGTATGTCTATGTGTGTGTGTGCATGTGTATATGTAAATATATGTGTATGTGTGCATGTATGTGTGCTTGTGTATATGTATGTGTATATTTGTGTGTGCTTGTGTATATATGTGTGTGTGTGAGTCTGTATGTATGTAGGTATGTGTATATGTATATCTAGTTTATTTTGGGGTGTTTTAAGTCTGTTCTGCTGGTTTTTTGTGTGTTTTTAAGGGTGATGGACACTTATTGGCTTGATAGGTGCATTGTGTTCAAATTTGGTGTCAATTCGTCCAGTGGTTTTTAAGTTATTTTAATCCCAGAAACGAACATTAAATTTTTATTTATATAGATGGTGGAGAAAGGGAAGAAACTTCATCTCAACTAGCTACTCCCCCAGCTCTTTTGACACCATATAATAGAATAGGAAGAGTAATGACTGTGTGGGGGAAAGGGTGCCTGCAAATCTGAATAGCACAGAATGACTGGAAACTTCAATAGGAACACTCCCATTCAAGGGTGAAGAAACCGCAGGTGCCTGCTTGTAAACTGACTGATAAAATTTCATTTGAGTTGTGAAAACTGCTCTCAGGTGCCCCTGTATTCCAGTTACATACCACTGACATTGGTTAAGTTCTATGAAGGCAAGCCAAGGTATCTCAGAGCCAGCATGCGTTGCCAAATATCGCTCAAGATTTACTACTTGGCAAATTGCATAGTTTCTCAAAACTTATTTAGCGAATAGCATTTGATATCCTCAAATTAAGCAACTTATCTCTATTCCTAAAGATTTTACAGCATAATGGATTTTGTATTGTCGAAGGCTTTAATGGCCGGAATCACTGGGTTGTTGTAGGTTTTTCCGGGCTATATGGCCATGTTCTGGAGGCAATTTTCCTGACGTTTCGCCTGCATCTATGGCAAGCATCCTCAGAGGTAGTGAGGTCTGCTGGAAGTAGGAAAAATGGGTTTATATATCTGTGGAATGACCAGGGTGAGACAAAGGACTTTTGTCTGCTGGGGCTGGGTGTGAATGTTTCAGCTGATCGCCTTGATTAGCATTCAATGGCTTGGAAGTGCCTGGGGGGAATCTTTTGTTGTGAGTGATTTTATGTGCCTGTTTGTTTCCTCTCTGTTGTTTTGCTGTTGTAATTTTAGAGTTTTTTTAATACTGGTAGCCAGATTTTGTTCATTTTCATGGTTTCTTCCTTTCTGTTGAAATTGTCCACATGCTTGTGGATTTCAATGGCTTCTCTGACATGGTGGTTGTGAGAGTGGTCCAGCATTTCTGTGTTCTCAAATAATATGCTGTGTTCAGGTTGGTTCATCAGGTGCTCTGCTATGGCTGATTTCTCTGGTTGAAATAATTTGCAGTGCCTTTCATGTTCCTTGATGCGTGTCTGGGCAATGCTACTGCGTTTGGTGGTCCTTCTGTAGACTTCCCGCCACCATCTCCCCAAAGGGGACTCAGAGCGGCTTACATGGGGCCAAGCCCGAACAAGAATTACAATACAACAATACAAATTGCAATCAAATAAACAACATAACATTAAAATATAAAACAGCAAAGCATATAAAACAATATACACAAATACTGATGAACCAACCTGGACACAGCATATTATTTGAGAACACAGAAGTGTTGGACCACTCTCACAACCACCATGTCAGACTACACAGAGAAGCCATTGAAATCCACAAGCATGTGGACAATTTCAACAGAAAGGAGGAAACTATGAAGATGAACAAAATCTGGCTACCAGTATTAAACAACTCAAAAATTACAACAGCAAAACAACAGAGGGGGAACAAACAGGCACATAAAATCACTCTCAACAAAAGATTCCCCCCAGGCACTTCCAAGCCATTGAATGCTAATCAAGGTGATCAGCTGAAACATTCACATCTAGCCCCAGCAGACAAAAGTCCTTTGTCTCACCCTGGTCATTCCACAGATATATAAACCCATTTTTCCTACTTCCAACAGACCTCACTACCTCTGATGATGCTTGCCATAGATGCAGGTGAAACGTCAGGAGAAAAATTGCCTCCAGAACATGGCCATATAGCCCGGAAAAACCTACAACAACCCAGTGATTCCGGCCATGAAAGCCTTCGACAATACAATATACACAAAACATAGGAACTAAGCATAATGACAGAAAGACAAAGGGCGGGTCGCATGTACATAAAATGGTTTTAAAACTCCAGGTGACATAAGGGGGGAGAACTAATTGTAAGGGTGAACTCATAGAGAGATAGGAAATTAAGCAAACCTTCGTATGGGGTTATGAATCTTTGAGGACCTTAAGATCGTCTGGAGAGGCCCTGCTCTCGGTCCCGCCATCATCACAAGCACAGTTGGCGGGGACGAGAGACAGGGCCTTCTCAGTGGTGGCGCCTCAGCTATGGAATGCCCTTCCTATGGAGATTAGATCAGCTTCTTCACTTTTAGCATTTCGGAAAAAACTCAAGACATGGCTATTCGAGCAGGCATTTGCGAATACTGAGTAACAGACATAAGAACGGAATCAACTACAAGATGGATTGGACATTAATTAGTATTTATTGATTTATGTTTTATTACAGCTATTATGATTTTATTGATGTTAAAGTTTTTATATTGTAACTGTGTTTTTGGTGGTATTGAATTTTGATTTGTAAACCATCTCGAGTCACTGGAAGGTTGAGAGGGGCGGTATACAAATACTGTAAAATTATTATTATTATTATTATTATTATTATTATTATTATTATTATTATTATTATTGCCCCACCAATGGAATTTTAAGAGCTCCCACCTCCCCACCCCCCAATTTTTTTACGGATGGGATTTTTCTCCCAAATGTAACCAACCTGAGCCTCATGCTGTACTTCCTAAGATGTAGGTAGGTAAAGGTTTTCCCCTGACATGAAGTCCAGTCGTGTCCGACTCTTGGGGTTGGTGCTCATCTCCATTGGGGTTGGTGCTCATCTTTCTAAGCCGAAGAGCCAGCATTGTTCATAGACACCTCCAAGGTTATGTGGACAGCATGACTGCATGAAGTGCTGTTACCTTCCTGCTAGAGCGGTACCAAATGATCTACTCACATTTGCATGTTTTCGAACTGCTAGGTTGGCAGTAGCTGGGCCTAACAACAGGAGCTCACCCCACTCCCTGGATTTGAACGTGCGACTGTTCAGCACCTTCCAAGTCACTGAATCTTCTCTATGCACGGGGGAGAGGAGTCTGTCATTTGTCATCAGCCATGGGTTGAGGTTCCGGGTTTTAGCCTGCCATTTTTGGGCTCTTGCTTGCTGAGGTATTCCTGTAAGTTCCTTGACACTGCTGCCTTACACTTTCACAACATGATCTTCTTCAGTGTTGCAGTGAGAATAAGGAAGGAGGAAGAAATCTAATTAAAATGAGTTTGGCACCCTGCATTAGAAAGAAAGGTATCACTATCTCAGCCACCTGTGTAGAAAGTTTTGGGTTTTGGAGCATTTTAGCTTTCAGAATTTTGGATAAAGGAAACTCAAGCAAGCCCCATGGTAATATAAAATACAGGAAAAAACTGCTGTCCTTTCTCTCCTGATAAGACAGAGACAACAGGAAGGCCACACAGAGAGGAAAATGTTTGTAAATGTCAAGGATTTTTGAATTGAGCCATTGCGTCAATTCAGGGACAAATAGCTTAAAAATTATGTGAAAAGCAAAGACCTTCCAGACAGTCCCCAATTGGGAGCGGACCGCCCTTTGAATTTTTACTCTTTCACATTGCTTGGCGTGAAAAGTTTGGTAACATTCATTTCCCCATTTAATAGGAACTGCACGTCTACAAGCAGCTTTTTCTTTTGGAAGGAAGGATTCCATTATCTCCGAGGCAGGTTGCATTTTGATTGGATCAGAGGCCACATTGTGGGAGATTTCTTCCTCCCCTCCTTTCCTGGGCTCTATTCTTCAGCAGCCATCAGCAGATATTTAGCCAAGCTGAAGGACCTATTGAAGATAAGACATGATGTCATGCCACCCAGAGAGAGACCAATAAGGACCCTCCCTGCTTCGAATCATCAGAAAGAGAGATGCACTTATTGACACCAATTCTGCCGTCCCCAGCAGTATTCAATCCAGCGATTTCCAGCACTGTTGATAATGAACTAAGGACGAAGCAGAGAACGAGAGAAAAGTATTATGCATCTGAAAATGATCTTTTTTTTCACCTCCCACCTCCAACCTCAACCCTAGGAATGTTTCACAGATATTCATTCTCTTTAGTCACTGATTATAATTCTTAATATTGAGGCTGTCATAAAAAAGGATGAGAGTCAACTACACATTCCAAGGTGTTGTCTACACAGATGGAAAAATTCTGCTTCAGCTAATCTGGTCCATTTTGTTGTTGTTGTTCATTTGTTCAGTCGTTTCCGACTCTTCGTGACCTCATGGACCAGCCCATGCCAGAGCTCCCTGTCAGTCGTCACCACCACCAGCTCCTTCAAGGTCAATCCAATCACTTCAAGGATACCATCCATCCATCTTGCCTTTGGTCGGCCCTTCTTCCTTTTTCCTTCCATTTTCCCCAGCATAATTGTCTTCTCTAAGCTTTTCTTTCTTCTCATGATGTGGCCAAAGTACAAGGGGTATTTTTAAAGTAAGGTCCATTGGAATATAAGTACACAACGAAAGTTTATTTCAAAAAAGTAAATTTATTTTCAGAAAGTACATACTTTACTATATTTTTTGACATAGTTACCAAGTTTGTTCAAACACTTATCATACATCTGAACCAATTTTAAAATACCCTCTTCATAAAAACTTGCCGCCTGCTCCGATAACTAAGAGTTCACTGCCGTCTGTAATCAAAGAAGGAGCAGTCCTCATCATGGATGTCGTCATGGTCATCTTTGAATTGTCGTACTCACTTACGCACTTTGCTTTCACTCATAACAGTATCACCGTACACTTCACAAAATTACATTCGGCCCGGCCCTAGTTTTATTGTGTCATGGTGTATTGTTTCTATTGTTTACTGTTATTGCTTAATGTTTTGATTTGCTTTATAATGCTATGTGTATTGTTATGTTGTTGTTTTATTGAGGCCTTGGCCTTTGTAAGCCGCATCGAGTCCTTCGGGAGATGCTAGCGGGGTACAAATAAAGATAATAATAATAATAATGTATTGTCGAAGGCTTTCATGGCTGGAATCACTAGGTTCTTGTGGGTTTTTTCGGGCTATAGGGCCATGTTCTAGAGGCATTTCTCCTGACGTTTTGCCTGCATCTATGGCAAGCATCCTCAGAGGTAGTGAGGTCTGTTGGAAATAGGAAAATGGGTTTGAATCTGTGGAATGACTGGGGTGGGGCAAAGAGCTCTCTGCTCAAGCTAGGTGTGAATGTTTCAGCTGACCACCTTCATTAGCATTTGAAGGCCTGGCTGAGCATGGGAAAATGTTCTGTTGAGAGGTGTAAAACTCTAAAATTACAACAGCAAAACAGCAGAGAGGAAACAACCAGGCACATCTTAACACCTCTCAACAGAACATTTTCCCAGGCTCTGCCAGGCCTTCAAATGCTAATGAAGGTGGTCAGCTGAAACATTCACACCTAGCTTCAGCAGAGAGCTCTTTGCCCCACCCCAGTCATTCCACAGATATATAAACCCATTTTCCTATTTCCAACAGACCTCACTACCTCTGAGGATGCTTGCCATAGATGCAGGCGAAACGTCAGGAGAAATGCCTCTAGAACATGGCCCTATAGCCCGAAAAAACCTACAAGAACCTAATAATAATAATAATAATAATAATAATAATGGAGGAAAGGGCAGGAATGGGGCTTGGGGATAACCCCCTCCCTCTTGGACCGCCCACCCCACCATGCGGCCCTCAAGTTAGAAAGTTTGCCCATGCCTGCTCTAAACTAGCCAGAACATAAAGGAGAAACAAGTATATTTTTTAAAAGAGCAAAGAATGTAAATATATGTACTTACTATCTCAGACCGTCCATCCCGGCAAGCGTTCTGAAACCTGGCCTGTCTCTCTTCGTGCGGTCTGTCCCGGAAGCCAGTGTATTTTATCTGCAAACAGCACAGGCCAAATCAAAAACTGAATCCTGTCTGTTTTACAACGTCGGGAAAGAGATAAGGACAAGTCTGCAGAGATAATGCAGTGAAGCAAACACTAAGTCCTCCATATCTCGGAGAACAAGCACAGACAGTACTCCAAAATAGATGCAACAAAATTACAACGTCGGGAAAGAGATAAGGACAAGTCTGCAGAGATAATGCAGTGAAGCAAACACTAAGTCCTCCATATCTCGGAGAACAAGCACAGACAGTACTCCAAAATAGATGCAACAAAATATCAACATGCCACTACGCTACTAAAATTTCAGATAATAAAAACTATCGCTTGTCACAATTCAACTTTATCTTGACAACGGGACCATGATCCTCAGCAATAACTATTGTTTATATCTGTTCTAGAACACATTTTTCCATCAATGACAGAAGAGAAAAAGGCAAGGACATTTTATTGTCGGGGAAAAGAAGACGAAACAGACCATTACCTATGTAATAAGGAGACACATACTTCATAAGCAACTGGTGGATGGGAATGTACTCATTTAAAAAAGACCAACAAAAGACACAAAAATGGCTTTCCAACACCATGAATAGTGAGTCGCAGTAGCACAATGGGTTAAACCCTTGTGCTTTTTTTTCGTGTCAGAAGCAACTTGAGAAACTGCAAGTCGCTTCTGGTGTGAGTTAGTTTAAGTATATGTCTGCCTTATTTGAGAGATAAATCAAATTGGAAAATTATTCATGTTTTTTTTTGTGTCAGAAGCAGCTTGAGAAACTGCAAGTTGCTTCTGGTGTGAGTTAGTTTAAGTATATGTCTGCCTTATTTGAGAGATAAATCTAATTGGAAAACTATTCATGTTTTTTTTGTGTGTCAGAAGCAGCTTGAGAAACTGCAAGTCGCTTCTGGTGTGAGTTAGTTTAAGTATATGTCTGCCTTATTTGAGAGATAAATCTAATTGGAAAACTATTCATGTTTTTTTTTTGTGTGTCAGAAGCAGCTTGAGAAACTGCAAGTCGCTTCTGGTGTGAGTTAGTTTAAGTATATGTCTGCCTTATTTGAGAGATAAATCTAATTGGAAAACTATTCATGGTTTTTTTTTGTGTGTCAGAAGCAGCTTGAGAAACTGCAAGTCGCTTCTGGTGTGAGTTAGTTTAAGTATATGTCTGCCTTATTTGAGAGATAAATCTAATTGGAAAACTATTCATGTTTTTTTTTTGTGTGTCAGAAGCAGCTTAAGAAACTGCAAGTCGCTTCTGGTGTGAGAAAATTAGCCGTCTGCAAGGATGTTGCCCAGGGGACGTCCGGATTTTTTGATGTCTTACCATCCTTGTGGGAGGCTTATCTCATGTCCCCGCATGGAGAGCTGGAGCTAACAGAGGGAACTCATCCATGCTCTCCTGGGATTTGAATCTCTGACTTGTCAGTCTTCAGTCCTGCCGGCACAAAGGTTTAACCCATTGCGCCACTGGGGGCTCCTGGCTGGACTGCTGACCTGAAGGTAAATAGTTTGAATCCACAAGATAGGGTGAGCTCCCTTCTGTCAACTCTAGCTTCCTATGTAGGGACATGAGAGAAACTTCCCACGGGATGTTAAAACATCCGGGCATCCCCTGGGCAACGTCCTTGCAGATGACCAATTCTCTCACACCAGAAGCAACTTGCAGTTTCTCAAACTGCTTCTGACACGAAAAAAAATGAATAGTTTTCTAATTCGATTTATCTCTCAAATAAAGCAGACATATACTTAACGTAACTAGACAGTAGAGACTGCAAATCCTGTAATTTCTCTGTGCACTTTATGTATATGGCATGAATTCACATGCCTGTAAGGAGAAAGCTTCGTGATTCCCAACCGCAGCGCACAGAGATGCAAACACAACACACTGTTCATTGCAGAGTCCACCATTCAGTTTTGTGACAGCAAGGCAGAAACAGAGAAACACAAATTAAAATGCATGTGTGAACTGCTCCATCCTAAAAAAACAGGAAGGCAAATTTCTGTTTTAATATTGCTAGCAGCATGTGAGCCAATAAATGCCAGAAATGGGCTGGACACACTGCGAGCACACAATGAAAAAGAAGAAATAGGAACTGCCACATGTGCGCCATATTCAGGAAACCCCGGGGGAAAACATGTGGCTTTATGGAGGATGGGACATATTCACAAGCAGAAATTTAAGGCACACCATCATACAATTCACAATAATATCACACCGCTTTCAAGTACAGAAGTCAGCATTCGTGTTAATGAACACTGAGCACAAAGCATGGTTTTGTATAAAAGAATAAGTCTTCTTGAGCTAAGCCAGCACTCTTTACACACGTTTTTGATTACAACTTCCATCAACCATGGCTCCCATTGCCAGTGCTGAGGGATCAAGCAAGTGGCTCTCAAAGGAGTATTATGATTCTGAATAAAGTTATATAGACGTCGTCTCCCCAGAAAAAAAAATGTATCTTAACATTTGCTCACATTTGCATTTTGTGAATGTGTTCAAAATTGATTTCCTCCTCGCAGAGTAGGCCGGAACAACAACAAAAACACTAAAATTTACCGTTTTCACAGTGAGAGAAAAGAACTGAAGTAATTAAAAGAAAATGTAAGGAAAACATTAGTTTTCAATCCAATCCACAGTACAAGGGACACTAAGTTGGGAACCCTTGATTGAATTGGGGAACTAAAGTCCCAAGCATCTGAGCAAAAGGTTGAATTAACCAAGTTATATTAATACCACTAAATTCATATCTAACTTGGATGAATCAATCTGCCATTCGCTTCTGCATACATACATACATAAACACATCTCAACGTAACAGTTTTATATCATCTATTAATAATAAACTTCATTTGTATCCCACCCTATCTCCCCATGGGGACTCAGTCCGGCTTCCAACATAGTAAAAGACAAGCATTCAACGTCTATACAAGCAATGCAGAGCTGGATATAGATCTAAAATTATATATACTAATTTCACATATTCATTTCCTCCAAATTGCAAATCCTCTCTCTATATGTGCACTTCCCTCCTGCAATATTTGCAAGCCCTATATATCTATGTTTATATCTATCTTGACACCTTTCTATGTATGTGTGCATTTCCCCTGTAATATTTGCAAGCCCTATATATCTATATTCATATCTAGACATGTCTATATATATTTCTGTGTACATCCCCCCTGTAATATTTGCAAGCCCTATATATCTATATTCATATCTATCTAAATATATATCTCTCTCTCTCTATATATATATGTGTGTGTGTGTGCATTTCCCTCTGTAATATTTGCAAGCCCTATATATCTACATTCATATCTATCTAAACATCTTTCTCTCTCTCTCTCTATATATATATAGATATACATTTGTGTGTGCATTTCCCACTGTAATATTTGCAAGCCCTATATATCTACAATCATATATATCTATCTAGACATCTCTCTCTTTATAGATAATTATATCTATATAAAAATAAGATTTGCAAAGACCTGCAAACATGTGAGTGGGAAATTCATATATAAAATTATTTATATATACACACATATACATACACACACCAAGAGAGATATACAGATATATAGGCACCTCTATATATTTATCGATATCTATATCTGTATAGGATTTGCAGAGACTTGCAAACATGTGAGGGGAAAATTCATATATAAAATTATTTATATATACACACATATACATACATACATACACACACACAAAGAGAGATATACAGATATATAGGTACGTCTATATATTTATCAACATCTATATCTGTATAGGATTTGCAAACTTGAAACATGCAAGGGGAAAATTCATATATAAAATTATTTATATATACACACATATACATACACACAGATATAAAGGTACGTCTATATATTTATCAATATCTATATCGGGTTTGCAGGGATTTGCAAATATAGGAGGGAAATTCATATATAAGAATAATGTACACATATCGATACAGATCTACAGGTAAATGGAAATCTGTAGATATCTATATGTATATACGATTGGCAAAGACCATATGCTACTCAACATGAATTTACATTGTAAGGGGAAGGAAAATATTTATCTAAGCACTGAATTAATGTAAACAGTAGTTACATTATGATGAATGCATGTTACCGTAGATAAATCCCATGGTGTCCCCTTTCTATGTGACCTCTTGAAACTTTACTTTTGGTGAATACAGATGTATACAAGCGCTCGAGCACACGTATCTTTTCATACTAAACATACAAGACCGTGCTTTGTGCTAAGCTGCTTGAATGCTGACTGCTGTACTTGGGAGGAATGTGATGCTAACATCTCTAAAGACCAAACTATATATAACGAAGACATGATAGATAACCAAACACAACCACAACAGATCTGCAAATCCAGCAGTGCCTTTTCCTACCCAGAGTCCTCATCATCAAGATCTGAGTAACAGAGGATGGGTTTCCCCTTGCTCTTTCAATGCATGCCGTGCATTGCAAACATTGACGGACTGACTTATACATTACTACCAAATGTGCTGATGCTATTTTGCCATCCGGTGAAGGTTCAACTTAGCAACCCTATGAATCAGACGGGATCAGACCGTACAAATTTACAACCGTGGCTTTTTCAATAGTCAAGCCATGTGTTAACTCAATCGTTCTGTTTTCTGACTGCCTTCCACTTCTATCAAGCATTAAGCTTCTTTTCTCATGAGTCACAATCATTGTGTGTTATGCCCAAAGTTAAAAAAAAGTCTTACTTTAGTCATTTGGAGGAGAGTTCAAGACTAGATTTGCTCTAGGACAGCGTTTCTCAAGCTGGGGGTCAGGACCTCTGAGGGGGTCATGAGGGGCTGTCAGAAGGGTCGCCAAAGACCATAAGAAAACACAGCATTTTCTGTTGGTCATGGGGGTTCTGTCTGGGAAGTTTGGCCCAAATTTATTGCTGGTGAAGTTCAGAATGCTCTTCGATTGTAGGTGAACTATAAATCCCAGCAACTACAACTCTCAAATGTC